TTTATAGTTTTGGGTCGACTAAACTTTTTATAAACGCGTTAAAATCAACTTAGGTGTATGCTAATAAACTTTAATAATTTGTAGCGTAATCCGCATATTGATCACTGCTGGCTAACATAATCAAAGGAATCTTTATAAAAATTGTATCAGCTGCTTGAAGACAGTTGTTTTGTACTAACATAAAATAGTTAACTAATACTAATTTAAATAGGTCAACTTATAAATAGGGATATATTGGGAAATATAGATTTATGTCTGTCTGAAGTGTTATAAAAACAAAATTGGACTTATACATGAGGACAATATTTTGATTGCATGCTCTTTATTGTTGCAATATCGTGTAATACATTCACACTTGGCTTGTTCATATGGTGTGTTGTGGACGGTAAAATGCTTTTGGAATATCTTTCTTTCTCTCAGACCAAGTTGCATTCATTTTTTCCAAAAGAATAAAGTATAAATAGTTGACTTGTCACATATAGTTTTGATAGAATTAAATGGTGAAATTTCTGCATCAAACAGAAGCAAATATGTTAACTTGTTACATCAGCATAAGAACTTGATCTATTCAAGAAAATTTACAACTCTAGCTGAGTAGAAAACTAATTATAGTTTGATGTTCGTTAAGCTTTGACACTTCGTTTATAATTCAAAGGAGTGTTAACTTCTTTATTACATATCTATTCAGTAAGTGAATTCTTTCTGAGTAATATAATTGACCAACTTTCAATATTTTTACTAAACTGATCTTTGCCACAAGATGTAATCTGAATTCATTTATACATATATGCTGTTGAACTAATGTCAGCCTGTGATGAAAACTAACTTCAAACCGAGGACTTGTAATTGAAACTTCTTGTAATTTTAGCGATTTTCACACAGATTGTGACTAGATTGATCCACATCTATTGAGTTGAAGAATGGTAGATTGTGATATGAATTTACTGTTTTAAATTGTTAACTTTAGTAAATTGATTTTGGAACTGAACATTAACGGAGATTGTTTCGGTAGCCAAATAGTATGACTTTTCAATTTTTATACTTGCCATTTCCTTAGTATCATTAAAACTTCATATAAGTGGGTTGAGATTATACAGCTATGATTTTAAAATTTATCAAATGTTTTTTCTCCATTTTGTAAGTAAATAAAGTGAATTAGTTACATTTCACGTGAAAACATTATTTGGAAAACTATTTGATGCTTTTCATTTAACCACAGAACGGACAAAATTACGGTCGGACAATCAGTAGTGTATTTTATTGGTTTATAAGTAACCTAAATTCTACACTTGTATTTTAGTTCATTGATAGTATTTGAGATGATTTTCAGGTCTAAGTGAAATACACATTCAGGTAAATTGAACAAACCGCAATTGGATTTTTGGGATGTTTTGAATAGGGCTTATTCGATGATGTATGTTTTGTGAACATTCCTCACATGCATTTTAAATTAAACTAAACTTCTTAAGTGATTAAAACTTTCTTGTTTCCCAAGGAAACTGAAATAAACATGAACATTTGAATATAATTTTTTAAAGTTTAAAAGTTAGGATGAATTGTTTGTTTAAGTATGCTCATTAGCTTAGTAAGCAAGAATGACATCTACAGCTATTGAATTTTTGAACACAACAGATATCATCCTTTTATTGACAAAATAAGTCGTATAAAACTTTCATAATCAGGGGAAAAGACACCGAAACACAAAAGATTTGTTGGGAGTCAGTAGCTAATCAAATGAAAAAGAATTCAAATCAGGATATACTAGTGAATTTCCACATGAATTCAGAATATTTCGCATCCACTAAGGATTAACAGAATGCCATAATATTTAAGAAAATTAAGACTTTTACATATTTCTTATGCAATAATTTCAGACAATAATGAAAATTCAATAAAGCATAGTTAACATAGATTTCCATCGCACTTCATTAGATTAATCGAATTACATTTTCAAAATTCAGTAGAAACCATTGAGCAATTAGGAGCTTAATTCAGATTTTTTACTAACTTCTTTAAGGATTTATCACTGATAATTTTTTTACTTCAATATTCTTTGAAGTTATAATCTGTACTACTTAATAATGTATAAGTAGCCAGAGTCTGTAAAACTCATCTTGCTAGTGGGTTGGTGTGAATAATTAAATGTTTACCAGAATAAAGAACAATGTGTTGAATATAATCTGTCATTTTATCAGTTAACTTAGATGTTGTGCACATATGCTGCATATCAAGCGCACGATAATCATTCCTTTTGTGATTACGATTGCTCTCTGTTTCTCTTTCTGTTCTCTTCATTCAACCTTCTATTTGACAGGTACCCCACCTCCGATTGATGCTATATGCTAGTTATATCTGTCAGTATATGTGGTGTACACTATACATTTAGAATTTTCTTGTTTCTTCTTATTTCATTTTGAAAAAAATATCCTCATTTTGAATGACAATTTGTTACATCTATTGGTCTGAATATCACCAAACGTATCTACCTCAACTAGGTAGGCACTGTCCCTGGTATATTCGCCCAGTAATTATTATTGCACAGAATCAAATAAAGTAATGAAAACAAAATACAAGGTAATTGAATACGGATTTTATTAAAAAAGGAGTACATTATTTTACGTAAATAATTAATGTATACGTTCAGTAAATATAAACCATATGGAAAAAAATCCAACTTGTACAAGTAGTCAAAATGAACAAAGCCTTAGTTGACGAAAGTAGCTAACAATTTAACGATCTACGACACAAATGGATCATTGGAATGTAAAAGGATGACGTTTGTTCTGCTCATCGCCTTTTACAATTTACTAAGTTATTTTATTCGAAATTTTCGCTCTTATACTACAGTCGACTATCTATAAAAATTAATGGATAGGATAGAGACGATACTCCCTTTAGTCGAAGGAGCAACTACAGTATAGTTTTAATCAGTGTCATCAGATAAAATACAGCGCATTTCTTTAGATCTTTTCACCACAATGTAATTGCTCTACCATAAAAGTAAAGGGTGAGGTAGGAAAGAATCTATTCCCAGATGATATGATTTAATATTCTGGCCGACAGAAAGATATTTATTGAACATGTATTCGTAATAATTGACGAAAAACAATTTAACGGCTCACAACTAAGAATGAACTAAAGAAATAGATTAATTTAAGTCATGGTCCTGAATATACATATCCGTATACAGTGACCAAATAACTTCAGTTGTTAGGTGTAAACCAACTTTCGGAAGATATGAGCCTTTTGATTCGACACAAATAAACTAATGACAATTTACCAGTGAACAGAACAGATCACAAAGCCACAAATACATTTTAGGGAAGTAGAACAGAAATTCTAATAAGAGTGAACAAACGAACACAGTGGCGAATTAAGGGTAGAATCAATTAATAAAATCCAAATATATATATATATATATATATATATATATATATATATATATATATATACGCAGCATGTGATTAAGAAACATGCTTGGACATGGACATATTATTACTGTTCAAATAATTCTGTGTGTTAAATATGTCAGTTGAAGGGCTTGACAAAAACTTAAACAAATCTAAGTCTAGGAGAGGGGTTATAGATATCATCTCAATCAAACTTAATGATTACTCTTATTATAAACGCACTACATTCATGCTCTCCTACAAAAGTATTAGGTATTAGTCAGTTGAAGTAAAACATAATCAATAAACTCATTTCTTGGTATTCAAAAGTAGACAGTTGTAGTAATTACCGTGATTACTATAAGTTGTACATACATAGCACAGTGTATACTGTTTTCATATCATTTTGATAAATGCTTTTAACCTGAAGATATAATGCATTTTTCTAGTCCAAATGCCTTACAGCTTGTTTTTAGGTCGCAAATATCCACTACTGTTCTGTGAATATGTAATCTCTTCAAACAAAATTTATAATATAAACCTAACTCATAGACATACCATGGCAAATAATTCATTGTTGTTCCGTACTCTCTGTTTCTATTTTACTTTCTCTAATTGTAGATGGTTATAATTAATTTATGATGGCGCAGGAAATGACCTTAAATATATTGTTCATAAATCAACAGGATATCCAATTAAGAAGAATTAAAAGTTCCCGGCCGATGCATTACATTGCTTTATTATATGTCATACATGCAGTACCTAAACAATTTTTGAACTAGCAAACTTAAAACAATCTTATATCACATGTTTGCCTGCTACATTTAATGTTACAATTTATATCAAGCTGATCATGACTGTAAACTGGCATGAATTCTGTAATTATTATTTTCAGAATACATTATATTATTATTACGATACTTGTATGCAATTTTAATCAACCTAAAATTCTCATCATATTAAAACATATCTAAACGAAGAATATTCTTTTCAATAAATTTTCTTCAGATCCTACAACCATATGTCCAAATTAATAGTCCAAATATTGGCCAGATCTAAGGCAAACAAATCGTTTAAAATCATAGCATGTAAATTCAAAATTATTCGTTACCTAAAATAAACTTCACAAAACCTTTGGAAGATTTATAATAATAATAACTATAATAATAGCATGTATGAATAAGTTTAAGCTATAAAAACATAAAGAGGGCTGTATGAACATTTATAAAATTATGTCAGCATTTCATCAAAATGATTGTTAACTAATTAGGCCAGAAGTTGGCCAAGGAAGAAGAAGGGGTTGAACATATTTCTTCCGGATGTAAAACTTTTGCTTCCTGATCTGAACAGCTGTTGCTTCAAACGTTTAGGGATTCTCAGCCTGACGGTTTTAGGTAGATAGCTGTTAACATGGTATGTTATTGTAAATGATTGCTCCATGTTGACTCTATGGCCTATTTATATTAAACGGATTAGAATGGAGCTATTAAAAGTTTTAACTATACCTTTACTTAACTACACTAGATGTTCGAGAGCATGAACATACAAATTCCTAGAATACCTGCCAATATAACTTGTTCCACACAATGAACAAAAAAGAAATCAAAAAACTTATAAAATAGAAATTTTATTTAAAAATCTATGCGAAATAACTGTTTTTTACAAAATTCGTCATGGTTTTGTTAAATTATAAACACAGTCAATACTACAGTAATAATAATAATGATCATAAAAGACATAAAAAGTTATAAATTCAACAGCTAATTGATTTGTCACAGAATAACTATAAGGATTAATTGATGCAGACCATTCCAAATTTTTTTTACTGAATAAACAAAGCTTTCTGAATAAATTGTCAACACTATGTTTCTTTCTGTAAATACGACAAAGAAGGTGAAATGAAATACATATAGTGTGTTTTACATTGTGCACCAGATGGCAACAACAATTGCTTTACGTTTACAAACTGAACATTATGACAAAACTTAGTATTTGTAAAGACACACTTGTATTTTAAGTGTTTATAACAGGAGTATATTATTGGAGGCTGGACACAGATGGAACTAATAGCGGCCACCTATTGCTAAGTGGAATAATTGATACAGATCAGGACAAAGTAGACTGACTAACAGGAAAATCAGTGTTAGGGAATGTCTAAATGTGCGTCCTCCCTTCTAGAGTTCATGACTCATTATTTTCTAAAAATACATATACTCTGGTCATTCTGACCAATGCATACATCACGCTCTTTATTTCACTGATTTAAAGCAATTCCTTTTGTTTAAGATTATTTATATCTTGTTTCTTCATTTAGTAATCACTTCACTGTTATTATCTCTTACCTAAGTTATAATAATTTGCATGCTACGTAGTCTTTGAATGAATATTTTACCTAATTCGTAATTACAGTATTACTTTCATCCGCCTTTATTTACTACAAACTAGAATTTCTCATTTTCCAATTATCTACAAAGTGATATATATATATTTTATATCATCCAGCGAAATATATGCAAACCATTATTACTGAAAAATTTAAATTCGTCTCCTCTATTTTTAGAAATGTAAATTCTCTAAGCTTAACCATACTTTTCTGATTAGGAATTTTGTAGAGGATTTCAATCTTTAGCTCACATTCAGGAGAAACTTTATCCAGACAACCATTGGACACTAGAATAGATTGATCGCCTGTTGAACTGATGAGTATTATCATACTGAGATGAAATAGTTGTCTAGTGCTTTCTGGTATTCATTAGTGATAAGTCTGATAATTGAATACTCGATTCGACTTCTTAGTCACTACTCATAACTCAAGATTAAATCTGCACGGTGATTCGAACACAATAGAAAAGTTGCAAAGTGTAAAACCAAAGACTGATGATAAGGATTTATATGATTCCTAAAATAAATCAAATTGATTTATGAATACGCCACTTTTTATATGATTTATTTACAGTTAGATAAACAGTAAAATTTGTACAGATTGAATTGAGCTATATTTGACAAAACTAACTTACTGTATTAATCTATATTTATCATATTATACTATTAAGCATCAATAACCCTTCTTTAAATGTGAAAAATTGTCACACACTACTGAGAAAAACAGTTTCATCTGTCATTCAAACTTCAAGAAATTTAGGCATTGCTCGCCATATCATCAGTTTTCTAGATAAAGTTACAAGTGATACAGACTACCAATATTCTTTTATTGTTGAGTTAAACTTATTCTTTGTTTAAATACTAGTCCTTTAATATGATGGAGATCATTAAACGAATAAACGAATCACTAATGCTTATCAATATTTTCAAATCACAATACCAACGTGTACCATGTATAAAATTTACAGTAAATAAATAAACAAAAAGAAATGGGCGGAAAATTCTAGAAAATTCTAGGCAACTACTAATTTTTACTAAAATAAACTTTAATAAATGTCTAATAATATTTCTACTAACGAATAATAAATAAGTTAAAAGTTAATAAAAAGTAATTTTTTATTCCACTTTAACGTTATACCTACTTTAGTTTTTTTATTTTTAAATTGACATGCATATTAAATTAGATAAGGTACGGTATATTGAATAAAAAATGATAAAGATTTATTGTTTTTTGCTTTTAATTCTCAAGTGAATCTAAAAATGAATACAGTCAAATTAATCGATATTGTTCATAGTGATTAAAAAACAAACAAACAAATAAAACAAGAAAGATCTAAGAATTTTTATATTCTATGTGGAAATTGTTTAACTAATAATGAATCAATTACATTTACTTTGTAATTATATTTTAAATAGTTCTTTTAGTAATTCATTTCTGATTAGTAACTGTATTAATGATCAATAATTATTGATTATGAATCGTTTAGATACATGAATCCCTATAAAATCATCATACACGTTTTGTATTAGGAGAAAAATATATAGACATAAGTTATTATTTGTTAATTATGAATAATAAAACGGTTGTAACCAGGTAACACCTTATTATTATTTATGACTAGCATTAATATTTATTATGAATGCTTTTAAACAGATAATGAAATTATGATATTAATTGATTCAGTGCAAATTTTTATTTATCACTAAATAGAATCATTATGAAACTAAACAAATTGTTGAACAAAACTTTGTAAATATGTTTATAACATGCCTTTCAGTAAGTAATTTACCTTAGGCAAACATCTTTTATTTTTATGCAGCTTATCCTATATTGAGATATAATTCATCTTATAAACATGACCTTATTATAAAGATAGTTTATCTTTATATAGTGGTGTAAGGTAACCAAGATCTGAAAAAAAAACACCCTGTGGCAATTATTAGTCTACAAACTCTATTGGGAATTTGAATGTTGTTTTATTTAAAGTTTAAGATCTTAATTTATTTGTTTCTCAATAAAATTTCTTTGTAATTAAAACTTAATAAACCCAGTAATGAACGAGATCATTAAATGATTATGTCAACTAGGATTATGGACAACCTTATTTCATGTACTTGAATTTGTTATGTCTGAATGAAGAAATAAACGAACGGTAACTTCCAGGATTTATTTATAAACTATTTATATATATATATATAAAATTTTTATTCTCAATTTATTAGTGACAGTATTCCATACTGACAGCCACTTTTGGCCTGATCTTACATGATAATTATTTTTCCATTTTATGACGCGTTATGGTTTACTCTGTTTGTACATAGACTACGTATGTTTGAAATATATGATTCATATAGCGGTGGCTGATATTTGTGTTCTAGACTGAACAGGCTGGGTCAGGCGTAAAGCTATTGTACAGAAGATCAATAAGGACTCACAGTTGACTCAAGGCTGCTCGTGTTGCCTAACGTATCATTGGTTTAGCACAGGGAAAATTACATAGAAGTTGGTATTTTGGTTAGCGATTTTGTCACGTGATATTTGGCGGGCCATATGACAACAGAATTCTTATCATTCATCACCAAATGTATCTGAACTGAAGGCAATAATGTAATATATTTATTAAGACTGTTCAGTTTTAAAATCTAATCCATTGTTTTAGCCAATTGGATTTCATTACCAACTCACATTGAAGCAGAACCTAACAGTAATGACTACCCAACAGAAGGATGACTGTTTGGAGGGTGAAGAAAAAATAGGTCATAGAGAAACAACTGTAAGAATATAATTGTTGAACAAGTCATCCAAGTTCATAACCAAGCTAGAAGGTTCACATTGACCACACACAAAAAATCAACATGTGTATGCACGAATTAAGTATTAATGTGAAGTATGGTTTTTAAAGTTGGAAAAACAAATAATATTTAGGGATACTGTGTGTGAAGCATCTTTGGAAACTTAAGTTAAAAATGTGGAGTGGTTTTAGAAAATATTTAATACACTACAAAATTTGATTATTCACTGGTTAATTTACTAGTCTTATCATACCATGTTTATTCATGACAACCATTCGCTTTAAACGATAATGAAAAGCTTACATTAGCAGTTTCAAAAGTCACTTATTGTTAATCTACACTATACAGCACCTTAATTACCTTTATAAAAGTGGTTTCCTGGAAATTTACTTATATAGTCATAAATATCCAAGTCTACTTGAAATCGGCTACTTATATGAATTCTTTTCACTTTTTGTCGAAATTCCGAATTATTTGGAAACGCCTACCATTCCAGACTTTTTAGGCCGAAAGAGTGATTGATAATAAATGAAACTCATAGTTTAGGAATGATTTGAAATCACTCTAAGCTTTCCATAGTGAGCTACAATGCTCAATTGCAATTCACATTTAGAATGCAATTCAGTGTGATCTTTAACTGGCCTATGAGTAAGAGGTGTGTATGTAATTAATGGAATTCCAACAAACTAACTGATCAGATACATCATTTTACCTCAATGTCAATCGAGCTATCTGGATGGAAAATGTAAGCAACTAATTATTAATTCAATATTAATTTAGAATAATTTTTTGCATAAGATTGTTGTTAAAAGTTACCCGAACTAGAACCACTAATATTGACATTAAAATGCTAAATCAATTTTTTATTCGACGTTAAACTTCTATTTATTTGGGTAAAACATAAATTTCTTATCCAAACTAAATTAATCTTACATCGTTGAAGTATACCACGTAATTTATATATGGAAAAAAACCTGTTAAAAAAACTATGTGAATCCGCGCACTTACTATAACGACGGCATTTTGTGTTATGTCCCATAAACTTAAGAAGCTAATGCCACCGACAAAACACATTTTCATTTTTTATGTATGTCATGAGTGTACTTCATTGCATCTGCATAGCTAGGTAAAGACGGAATGAAAAAGATTTCCATTCTTATCAACAGAATCCGACTCCAAATAAAATGAATCTTTTGAATTCAAGTCGGTTTCATTGAACTTTTGTTTGGTGCTCATCATCATATGGTTCATAAACATGTCAACATGTCATAAAATGTAAAGATTAAGAGTACGTACTTCACTGATATATATAATCACTTTAGAAAATATATATCAGATTGTTTTTTAATTGTTTAGGTTTTCAGTTTGCATCAATTAGGTTATCACAAGTAACAGCGAACTCTCATCCCATGTAATACATTCGGAACGATAGAACTTTTTAATAAATACTAAGGAGTTAAAATATTTAAAAAAATTATAAATGTAAGTTTAACTTCGTGTTCATGAATAGAAACTTATCATTCTAACTAAATAGATATTAAAACTGTACATAGTTATGATTGAATCATAAATGAAGGAAAAAATTTATGACATTTTAGTTAGCAATAAATTAGTGCAGAAAATCGATAATCCTATCTAAGCCTCTTCATTGTGATTTACAGTTGATTCTATTCAAAGCTTTTAACATATGTCTATTTTCAACTATTCTCAAATACTTCTGAATAAATATCCAAAAGAAATATGTATAATTATTTGCATAATATTTGATGATCAAAACGATCTAGCAAGAAGTTTTTTTTTATAACTTGAATGTCACACTTGTTTACACTCACATCAACACAACGTATATCTACAATATTTTAGAAACTATTACTTTCCATTAGATTTAAATAAATATCACTAATTATTACAGTCAATATAAATTAACTCTGAAATATTCAGATCACAGATGATCTTTAACAAATATACTTCATATGATTTATGCAAATTATTAAATAATAATGCAATAATCAGTTCATTTAATTACTAATTACTATTTGTAAAAGAATAAATCATAATTGATTTAAATCAAATTCAGACAATAAAAAAAGAAAAAAGAAAAAAAGAAAAACAATAGAGAAAAAAGCTTTAAAGTGCATAAATATATGGACTTAATAGTTTCTCCAAAAAAATAATGATAACTTCTTCTCTAATGTAAACGTTTATATTAGAAACAATTGTTGATTAGATATAAGTCAATGATTTGATAAACAATAAAGTACTTCATTTATATTTTTATTATAAAAATAGAAACGTGATTAATCAAACACTTTGAAATGAATAGTTCACATGATAAATAATATTAAAGTATAAATTTATTTATTTAATAGGAATCAATTAATTATTCGTTTTCTTTTGTGAAAAATATATAATTATTCAATAGGAAAATTAAATAACACATGAAATTTAATTGTTAACCATAGAAATAATGAAGAAATTTTTTTTACTTAAAATAATAATTTAAAAAACAAACAAACAACTTTCTCAGAAGGGGTTTTGTGGAGATTTCAGAAATTTCACTGATCGAAATCATTAGTCAATTGAAGCTAGATCACCATGGAAAACCTGGAAGCACTGGACGGCCGTTTCGTCATTTGCTCACTAGTGACTGACTTCAAGAGATATTCCTGGAGTTCTAGTGAGAAGCAGTGACCAGTGGAGTTCAACCAGGTCTGTTGTGAGATATCAACTCACTGAAGACAATGGTGTATGGAGGCGCAACTTCCTGGATTGGTTGAAGTTAGACAATAACATTGTTGGATGCCGGCTCAGTGGTCTAGTTGGTTAAGCTCCTGGCGCGAGACCGATAGGTCCCGAGTTCCAATCTCGTGGGGTGCGGGATCGTGGATGTGCACTGGTGAGGAGTACAAAACTAGGACGAAACGGCCGTCCAGTGATTCTATGTTTTCCATGGTGGTCTAGCTTCGATTGGCTCATGATTTCAATCAGTGAAACAACTTTCTATTAAATATACAACTCGATTCTAGTCTATTATTTACTAGTGTTTTTAAATTATTTTCATTATATCTCATAATATTTAATCTTTCATTTTAATTGATATATTTTGTTCAAAATCTTAAAGATAATTATATACTTCCAGGTTTTCCACGGTGGCCTAGCTTTAACTGATTCATAAACTCAACCATTGAAATTATTATAATATTCACAAAACCTCTTTTGATATTAATCAACATATGCTCACTAGTGACTAGCTTCAAGAGGTATTTCATGGAGTTCTAGTGAGAAGCAGTGACCAGTGGAGTCTGTTGTGAGATAGTAACTCACTGATAACGATGATGGATGTGTCGCTTAATTTCGTCGATAATTTGAAGCTAAACATTAAGATCGTTCGATTCCGGCTCAGTAGTCTAGTGGTTAAGCGCTCGCGAGCAAAACTGATAAGTCCTGCGTTCGAGTCCCGCAGGTTGTGGCCGTGGATGAGCACTTCTGAGGAGTCAATCACTTGTCACGTATAGGAAAGTGGAATTGATTGTTCTGTTTTCATTTCTTATTTATTTCGGATCTTGTTCTCTAGTATCTAAGATAAAATTAAATACTTCTAACTATTCTAGTGGTTCAACTCTTGATGTTAATGATTTAATGATTAGTTTCTATAAACAAGTAAACTGTACTAATAATGAGTTGACTTTTGTGATTTATTCAGTATGGAACTACTCAGTTAAATCGCCTGTAAAAAAAGAAACTTAATTATACAATATGCATGTTTTAAACGTATATTTTTTATAGAACATAAGGTTAAATGTTCTCAAAACTTATCAACAGAAAAACATGTTATAACTAACTGAGAACCAGTATTATGTACAAATAAGAAGCAAAATACAATCCGTAGATGGTTTTTTCAGTATAATATGGTAGGCAAACTATGGTTATGAATAAATCCTTTTGCACTTACAAAATACAAATAATTACTGTTTACAAAATTAAATTAAATACCTTATTAGCTTAATCGTTAGAGCATTGATTATGAACGTATTAAGAACAAAAGAATTGAAGTAGATAAACATGATATTAGTTAACATGTTAGTATCTCAGTATTAGAGGATGCATGTCATTACCGGAGTGGCTCAGTAGTAACGTTCAAAATTCTAAAGCTTAATGAAGCGCGTCTGAATTGTAGGGAGATCGCCAGTTCCCTCATGAGCCCAGACGTCCCCTTCTGAAGTGTGTCAACTATCGCGAAACCTATACCCAGAGTTTCCTGTAGACTTATTCTAGCAATCTAATATTAAAACATAGTGACAACTCATAACGGTGATTACCTATTGTATGTTATTGCCTTTTTGTCAGAAAAATGGGCAAGTTTTTTTTTGTAAACTAAATTGGCGAATGCACGCTGCATAAACTATAATTCTAATTAAAAATATGATAGGATGACAGACTAGCTACTGAACGTTTCTGAAATTAAACATTATGTAATACATTTACTATTCGTTGGAAAAACCGACGAAACTAAGAAACTATTGAAAGCTGAGGATGATAAAAATACATTACCTAAAAGCAAAGCAATATTTGCTAGACTCTCCGAATTGATGCTGATCTTGATCTACCATATTTCTGCGGTGACGTGCATCTACACACATTCTGACAAGAATATTCATGATTTAATAAAGCAGCAGCTTTATCTTTTTGCGATGCTGCATATATTGGATTACGTGTACATGCTTCTCCTTTCACCAAAATACATGCTTTAACCGATTTACATCTATTAGTCTTATCCATTTTTGTTGATTGAAATCGCTGTTGAATTTCAGTAGGTCTTTGATTATATAAAATTAAACATGGCCAAATGTAATGGTGAACTTGACCAGCAGATGGGTCTGAATCATAGCTTCTTCGATAACTTGAAAATAATATGGTGAAAACAAAACACAAATTTTGAATTAATTGATAAATATATTACGATTCTCGTTGTATGACTGCTCACTAAAACAATATAAACAGACTGCATACCATTTGTCATTGTATGGATCACCAGGTTTGGCAGCTTTATCCACATCTGCATACCAAGTAGATTGAACTCCATCTGATTCAATATCTAGTTGTGGACTCTTTTTTCCAGCCAGTAGGTGCCAAGCAAGACAACAAACTTCCTTTAGAAGGTTATCTAAAGCAGTCAGTTCCTGAGATGTCACAGGTCGTCTTATGGAAATAGGCCGTTTAATATTTGTCCCACTCATCGAAGTAATTGAAGTATGACATGCGCATTCTGGTGGAGCGTGACGTGAAAGACGCCTGAATGTTGCGGCTACAAGTTTATCTAATTGATCAGCATTGAGCGATATGTCAGATGCGGAGAATTGTCGCTCACCAACATTCCTTGACACATAATTTTCTTTTTGAGTGTAACTGGGAAGACGATGGATCACATGGCTGGTGACAGTGAAGCCGGCCTAAACGTAAATAACAAAATTATAAAAATAGTTTTATAGTTGATATCAGTGTCCATAGACGACGATCGATGAAGAGTTTTGCGATAATATGACAATTTATATACGAATTACATAGATTACGAAACTCAATAGAATTTGAATTAAGAAGAACCTAGTAAATTACCGACTCGAGCAAGAGGTTAAGTTTTTAATTTGAAACTTCAAAATGGAATCAACATTTACAAACCATCTACTGGTAGAACATTAAATGTTGAGGTTTTCAAACCAAATTTTTCCATCCAGTTTAGAATATGAGCTACTAATGTAGAGTTTTCACGAGATGTATTCACTATGTGTTTCACCTACCAAATCTTGTGTTTTTCAACATTGTTGCTGTAACGACATATTTCTTGTGCTATAATGCCACCAGGGACTCCTAGTCGAAATAATGTTACTTTAATATACGAGTAATAAGCCTCATTTAACTCCGCCTGTAGCTCTTATAGGGTTGCTGCCGGTCCCAAGCCCGGGTAAAGGAGGAGGGTTGAGCATGTGGTTAGCGTCCCCATCTCGTAGAAAACTAACTCGCTAAAAAAACGCTTACCAGAAAAAATAATCCAAACCATTTTAACTCTGCCCTGGGAGTTAGAAGGTCTTCATTTAGAAGAATTATGACGCTTCGTGGTGAAAGCCGAGTTCCTTCGGAAGCCACGAGGCCGATGCCCCTTCTAACAACCAGAGCAAAAAATTTTATAGGTACATGGAACGTTCGAACAATGTGGGAAACCGGGAAGACCAGTCAAATAGCAACGGAAATGAGGAGATACGACTTAGCAGTACTGGGAATCAGCGAAACCCACTGGACCCAAGCTGGACAGAAAAAGCTAGCTACGGGAGAGATGCTGCTATACTCCGGTCACGAAGACGACAATGCTCCACACACTCAGGGAGTCGCTCTTATGCTGTCCAAAGTAGCACGAAATGCACTTGTAGGATGGGAATCTCACGGATCCAGAATCATCAAAGCATCATTCAAAACAAAGAAGGAGGGGGTCTTAATGAATATTATCCAATGTTATGCACCCACCAATGATAGCAACGACGAAATTAAAGATCAGTTCTACGAGCGGCTGCAGTCAATCATTGAGAAATGCCCAAGAAAAGACCTAACTATTCTGATGGGAGATCTAAATGCCAAAGTCGGAATAGACAACACTGGATATGAAGATATTATGGGACGACATGGACTGGGAGAAAGAAACGAAAATGGAGAAAGATTTGCAAATCTATGTGCATTCAACAAATTGGTCATAGGAGGCACAATATTTCCACACAAGCGTATACACAAGGCTACATGGATCTCACGGGACCACACTACAGAGAACCAAATAGATCATATTTGCATTAACAAAAAATTCCGAAGGACAATGGAAGATGTGAGAACCAGGAGAGGTGCTGACGTAGCTTCAGATCACCACCTAGTTGTAGCCAATTTAAAACTGAAGCTAAAAAAGAACTGGACAAGTGGACAAACAGCAATAGAAAGGTTCAATACAGCCTTCCTTCGAGATACTGTCAAACTCAATGAATTCAAGATAGCTCTCAACAACAGGTTCCAAGCCTTACAAGATCTACTGAAAGAAGAAGAAACTACTATGGAGGACAACTGGAAAAGCATCAAAGAAGCATTAACTTCAACGTGTCAAGAGGTTCTCGGTCTAAAGAAATACCATCATAAGGAATGGATCTCTACAGAAACACTGGACAAGATCAAAGAAAGGAAGAACAAGAAGGCAGCAATAAACAACAGCCGAACACGAGCAGAGAAAGTCTAAGCACAAGCTGAATACATAGAAGCAAACAAACAAGTGAAGAGGAGCATTAGAGCCGACAAGAAGAAATACGTGGAAGAACTAGCAACAACGGCGGAAAAAGCTGCTAGAGAAGGAAATATGAAACAACTTCACGATACAACGAAGGAACTAGCAGGGAATTACAGTAAACCAGAGAGGCCGGTCAAAGACAAAGAAGGCAAGCCAATCACCGAAATTCAACAACAGCGTAACAGATGGGTAGAATACTTCGAGGAACTCCTGAATAGGCCGGCTCCAATGAATCCAGTGGACATCGAAGCAGCACACATAGATCTTCCTATAGATGTCAATCCACCAACTACGGAAGAAATTAGAATGGCCGTCAGACAAATCAAGAACGGAAAAGCAGCAGGACCCGACAACATACCAGCTGAAGCACTGAAATCAGACATCGAAACAACCACAAGCATGCTTTATCTTCTATTCAAAAAGATTAGGGAGGAGGAACAAATGCCGATGGACTGGAAAGAAGGACACCTCGTTAAGATTCCAAAGAAAGGAGATCTGAGCAAATGTGAAAACTACAGAGGCATTACACTACTGTCAATACCAGGGAAAGTCTTCAACAGAGTGTTGCTGAACCGGATGAAGGATGCAGTAGACGCCCAACTTCCAGATCAACAAGCTGGATTCCGTAAGGATCGGTCGTGCACAGACCAAATTGCAACACTACGGATCATCGTCGAACAATCAGTTGAGTGGAACTCATCACTATACATCAACTTCATTGATTATGAAAAGGCATTCGACAGTGTAGATAGGAAGACATTATGGAAACTTCTTCGACACTACGGAGTTCCTGAGAAGATTGTCAATATTATCCGGAACTCATACGACGGACTACAGTGCAAAGTAGTGCATGGAGGACAGCTGACAGATGCATTCCAAGTAAGTACCGGAGTCAGACAAGGCCGTCTACTCTCTCCCTTCCTCTTTCTTCTGGTGGTCGACTGGATTATGAAGACCTCAACATCTGAAGGAAAACACGGAATACAATGGACAGCTCAGAATCAATTAGACGATTTGGACTTCGCAGATGACCTAGCCCTCCTATCACGTACACACGAACAGATGCAGATGAAGACAGCCAGTGTAGCAGCAGTCTCTGCATCAGTAGGCCTCAGCATACACAAAGGGAAAACTAAGGTCCTCAAATTCAAAACGGAGAACAGCAATCCAATCACACTTGATGGCGAAACTCTGGAAGATGTAGAGTCCTTCACATACCTGGGAAGCATCATCGATGAACAAGGAGGATCCGATGCAGACGTAAAGGCGAGGATCGGCAAAGCAAGGGTCGCATTCCTACAATTGAAGAACATATGGAACTCAAAACAACTTTCAACCAATATCAAAGTGAGAATCTTCAATACGAACGTCAAGGCAGTTCTACTGTATGGAGCTGAAACTTGGAGAACTACAACAACCACAATCAAGAAAGTACAAGTATTTATAAATAGCTGTCTTCGCAAGACACTCAACATCCATTGGCCGGATACTATCAGCAACTGCCTTCTGTGGGAGAGAACAAACCAACTTCCAGCTGAAGAAGAAATTAGGAAAAGACGATGGAAATGGATAGGACATACATTACGCAAATCGTCAAACTGCATCACGAGGCAAGCCCTAACTTGGAATCCTGAAGGGAAGCGAAAAAGAGGAAGGCCAAAGAACACATTGCGTCGGATAATAGAAGCAGATATGAAAGCGATGAATTACAACTGGACGGAGCTAGAAAGGATTGCCCAGGACAGGGTTGGATGGAGAATGCTGGTGAGCGGCCTATGCTCCTTCACGAGGAGTAACAGGCGTAAGTAAGTAAGTAAGTAAGTAAGCCTCATTTAAAAGACATTCATTATGTTTGTATAAAAAATGTCGTGATAGTTTTAAAAAACAAAACGAGTGCTGAAATTCTAGTGACATTACGATACTAATGACATCATAATTCCATAAAATTGAAACATGTTCATTACCAGAACTGCACTTTAGTGTAAATATATCACTCTACAGAAACAGCGTTATACCATGCGAGACATATTAAAAGTTTTGAATAATATTTTAAGTGAATTAAAAAATCTCAGTTGAATTTTATTACCTAACCAGTGTATGAAATAATATTACCTTTGATGAATTCGAATAATTAAAAAATATACTTTGATAGTTCAGATATAAATCTGTTATTCACTAATGAAAAACCCATAAACCTACTGCTATTATATTAAGTTGTAAAACTAAAACATCAATGTAATAACAATTTAAAAGGACAATTCTAGATTATTTTAACTAAACGATAATTAATCATCAGATATGTCTCAGTAAACATTGATATTTTAGTCCAGTTTCTTTCACCAGGCTCGATATAAGAAAGAATGTTAAATAGTAATAGCCCTAGAGCATGATACAGATCTCTCGAAGTTTATTTGTGGTATAATTACAACCATTTCATTCATACCGTTTTGTTGTCAAAGCAACCATTTGCTACCAGCTAATTAGTCTCATAGAAAAAAAGGATTGAGTGTAATTTATCTTTCCCATATAATAAATATAATTTTGACATTAATGGTCGTTACAGAAAGCATCCAATTTTTTCATACTGATTTTATTAGTGATTAATATTAAGTTCAAACCTATAAGGGATTAAGAAGCAATTGAATAGTTAGTATTACATAATCACTCCTTAGAAACATTTAGTCAGATTAAACACTAGGGCAATATTATTCAGAAAATAATATATCCCCATGCGAAATGTGTGACATATGAGCATCACTAACTGAAATACCACAATACATATTCTCAATCGGTTTGGTCCGTTACGTTCTTGTAAACTATTTTTTTCATCAAATAATTATTACCTGAACTTGTTTGTTTTATGACAAAATATTAGCGTATCTATGCGAACGCCTAAAGAAAAGATAGGTGTGTCTTATACTAAACTCTTTTAAGGTGAATCTTAGTTACACTATCTATTATACGTAAAACGTAACGACAGACAAAACGATCCTATTAGATTAAAAAACAATACATTGTGTGATCATTCGATTACTCCAAATGTTTATCCTCAATTTACAAATGGACAAATCTAAATACCATCTGTGTTCCACACCCATAAACTTCAATTCAACTGTTATATCGTTATATAATCGAAATTCAGTTTTTGTGAATCAGTTATTTTCCAATCACTCAAAAGATTCCAGTATATAAATTAAATGTGGAACATTTTATTGATTTTTTCTTCACCAATCTAGTATTTTGTAATAAACGAGACAGTTCCAATAATACCATCTAAGGTATACACATCGATTAGCATAATCAGATAAACATACAGAGATAGAGAATTTTATGTTCACCTTACTTTAGATAGGCTTCTTTAATTCATCAATAGATACATTTATTTCATTTAATTTTTATGTACGGTGTTATTTTAGTGAAAAACGTAGATAGCTTCTTCGTTAAGAACTCAAAGAAATATAATACAATACAGTACATCTTTCACTACCATATGAAGTTACATTGACGTTACTTGGTTTAATGGTGCAAAACTTTGAAATAGATAACATAAATGTTTTCCACTCTTAACGAACAATTTCTGAAGAATTCATCTAGCTTTGGGAATAAAATAAGCACGAATCGTCTACGCTTGTTACAAAAATTGAGTACTCGTCAGGTTATTACCATACTACATTTAAAAAATGTACTTAGTAATCAATTAGAATGACTTTCAAGTGATTTATTCAATGACTAAACCATTATGGTTATTGATCACTTAATCTTTTTGAGAACATTGATTCATGAAAATCTCATTGTCTGCCTACACAACATCGACACATAATTCAAAAGATTTATTTATTACTAAATGACAAAAAATTGCCAGTGAGTTTACTTGTTTGTGAACTCTAAATACAACCATATTATCAAAGAAATATTAAATTGGAAGACATACCGTTGAAACTATGAAATTTTCCAAGCAATAGTAGGAAATTCAGAACAAGAGTTATAAAAGGACATGTAATAATCAAACTTCAAAAACGAGAGATATGTTTTCTTATGACAAAATGACTTTTTGTATACCACATCAAGTAAAACTTTTGAACTAATAATTTTCTGGCATTTCGCTGACATAAGTCAGAAATATCAGAATATGATATAATGTTTCTGTCGGCATTTGTTTATATTAAGACGTTTATGATATTTTCGTAGAGTTTCTTACAAGTAACTTTACCTATTTTGATTTCTAATAACATCTCAGATCGAGGTAGGGGAGAACCAGTTTTTCCACTAATATGTTTTATAATTTACTTCACAGACCGATATCAATTAAACAATAACTGAACACCAGAAAACCCTAGATAGCCGTTTAGTCCTAGTCGGAAATTTTCAGCAGTACATGGTTATTAACAAACCGAGGATAGAATGCAGAACTATTAGGCCTCAACGATCTTAGCAAACCCCTTATATTCACAATAACCGTTTGCTTGCTAGTAGATTATTTTGACACATAACTCTTGTAGTTGCGTTGAGAAGCTGTAACCAGTGGATTTCAGTGAATTCAGGTGTAAGGCAGTTGTTCGCCGAAGTCGATAGGAGATGGTAAGATAATCTCGAGGATTGATTCAAATTATACATGTAAAACTATCAACGTCAGCTCATAAGTTTAAATATGAAGTGTTCGTCATGTGAACTGAATGCCGTGGATATGATTGGCAAAGAAGCTGTATTTGCGCTTCTAAGAAGCACAATACTAGGAAAAAAACAGCTGTCAAGTGTCCCCTAATCTACAAAAGTGGTGTAACCATGGTCGGCGAGTGATATGGTTTATAATACATATATAAATGAAAATTCAGTGATTTCCACAAACTGCAATCCCAGTATGTTTTATGAACTTATATAATAGATTTTATTACACGTTAATTTAAAATTGAACTTGAAGCTTGAAATTTGATCAATTGATGACAAATAATTCTTAGTACATATTTTGTGAGATAAGACAAGTTTATAAAAAATCAAAACTGATAAGTTTGTAGTATTTAATGGTTTAACAGATGTAATATAAAGATAGTAAACGATTGACGTGATGAAATTTATAACTTTCTTATTTAGCCAGTGATAACTTACTTGAACCGCGTGAAAAATCAAGCGTTGATTCCTTGCACAATCAGATTGACCTAATGATTGTAGATGATCCATACACGACACTCGTAAATTCGTGAATAGATCATTATATCGGCTAACCAAAGGAGAAAGCCAACTTTGAAGATGACTTGTAACATTTTTATCTTCAACAAATTTCACCAGATGATCATTAGAAATGAAAGAATTATCACTTTCCTGAGGATAAATATCATCATCACTAAAATTTTCAAATTGAAATTTGAAAATCTTTTATTTATGTGAGAAATTATTTTGTAAACATTTACGTATTATGATGATATTACATAATAATACATAAGTGTGTACTGAATATTCATAATACGTATCTAATCTAAGGGTAATTTCTTTACTAAATGACTACCTTAAACGTAAATGCTTTAATAAGTTATCTTTTAATAGTTACTTTTTGCTAGAAAAAAGGCATTTTTAAAATAGGAATACCATAAAATCAGTTTTTGTAAAAGATAACTGATATATGCATATAAAGATAAAATATTCGAAAAATGAAGAACTTTTATGCTAACGTTATTATTTCAACTTTAATATTGTCGTAAAAGTGGATAATGCAGAGGTAGATACACATTCAGTGTTTATTATCAGTATATTCGCTGCTAGATTGGTATGTACTTATTCATCTGGATTGATATTTGATGCATCAGATAGTAGATAACTTTGCTGAAATCTATTGGTATAAAGACATTAAACAATAAGTGAATTACATTTCAAATCACCATCAAATAAGCATAAACAATATTTTTTTACCTCAGTGTCTTAATAAATAGGTAGAAGATATCATTAGATGAAAAATTTTACTAATATAAATTTTACTTTATTTTACTACTTTCGGATTTAATTTAATGCTTCAAAAACATAACACAGTGGTGGTGATGATATATAAACCTCTAAGTCGATGTTATTCTCTGTATCATTATTTTTAAAAACTGTATTCTCTACGTTTAGCTTTACAGTATTAATGATGCTGTTATCCTATCGATTATTTCATCCTCACCATTGTCTCAATGCGAAATTTAAGGGAACCTGCCCAGATGATATGCCTGTGCTAAGACCTACACTATTTATAACTGATTAACTATAGCTATACAACTGATAGCTAATAAAATAGGTTTAAATTTGCTGCTTAAATTATGTATCAGTTTTATCTAACGTTTATTGTTAACATGCTTTTATCCCTCCATTTTGCGGATATATCTTACAGTAGATTTTATTGCTTGTTCGTAATCCATCGATCATTCGTATTTGTTTTGTTTATAATTATTCAAATTACAAACAAAATCTTCCACACTGAAAAAGTAACGTTAAAAAATAATCTTTAAGATTTGTGATATTCGGCTGTAAAAATACTGACAAAATAAACCGGACAATATAGACAATAAAAAGAAGTAACCCACTGAGAATGCAAAACGGAAGTACTTGAAATGATAAGTGGCAAGCATTCTCATTGATCTACTGACAAAAATAGTATTTTGAAGAGACAATGTTAAATATGATGATCTAAAATGTCGATTTCAGAACATAGGAGTGCTCATTTTGAGAGCTATTTTATAATTCAACTGTACGCTTAATTCACCTCAGGTCTTCTTGTATCATTCAAACAATCATTTGTCACTGACAAATAAGATTTTTGGAACATTTCCTATAGCCAAATTAAATACCACAACACGACCGATGACACCAACACCATGAGTTCATCTTCCGTTATGACATGTATTCTTTTACTTTTTAAGTGGCTAGTTTACACGCTGTAACTGCAATTTCCAGCTGAAGAAAAAGTGTTTTTATAACTAGCGTGGTCCACCTCCTGTCACAAAAATAATCTCAGACGTTTAGTTTTCCTACTTGTCATGATTACAATTAGTAAACCACCTTAATTAAAACGCAAAATATGTATGTCGAACTTCTTAGAGCATATTCGTAAAGAATATAACAAAGTTTGTCTTACCATCGTTCATTTACTTGTTTATTAAGATCGTATTCAGATACAGGAGAAGCCACTATGCTTTCAGCATCTACCATAGCTCTGGGTCGCTTTTGAGTAGAGTAAATTGATTTATTTTCTATATTAGGTTGAATAAATTCCATACTTTGAGCTTTTAGTTGATTGGTTAATCTATCACATTGAATTTGACTTTGTATTAAGCTTTACATTTCGTCACAAAACAAAGAATTTAATCATACTATTAAATGCAGAGTAAATTAGTTGAAAGATATGTATAGTTGTCTCAAAAATGATAAGAGGGAATAATCGAACAAAATTTGTACACAAATTAAACTATTTAAATATATTAAGATAACTCACCGTTCTAAAATCTCATTTTCTAAACTTGGTAAGCTTTTCGAATAATCTAAATTATCACGATAATCTTTTGCCGTCGGATGTATATTGCTACATGAATGTAAGTCCCTCTGATTTTGATGGAAGTTATTTTCTGAAATCATTACCGGTGACCGATAAGACTTTTTAATTGTTTCCTCAACAAAGGCTTCAGGAAATACTTTGTTACTTTCTGTACAAAGGCTACCTAAACATTTTAAAATAAATATATATTGATGTAAGATGATTTGATGAGATACTTTGCCCAATCACTATGAATATATTAAGATTGTTATTTTAGTTGCTTCTTTAGAAAAACTAACGATAAACCAAGTTTTGGTACCTAATAAATATTGCTAAAAACAGCCAGATCTCTTTTGAATAGCTTCGATTAGACTTACTATATCCAGAATTTTGTTGAAATTATTCACTCACCTGTCGTAGCTATCTCTCAGTATATACTTACCTCATTTTACCTGATTGCACCTATAATACCATTATTTTACCCACTGATTTCCGTCGTTAATCTGTTTGCTACTCAACACCCATTAAACCAAACGACAAGTCGATGAGAAAACCTGATTCTTCTAACCATACGTGTTATAAAGTTTGACGAGCAAAGCTGCCTAGAATCAGATTATTGACGAACATTAAGGAAGGGGACATAAGAATAAAGCCAATAATGTATTACTTATCATCATGTGTGCCATAATAAGCATTCCCAAGGTAATCATTTGATTTGTGAAAATTTCCACAACTAGTAGCCAATAGTTTTAATAATGTAGTTTCCCATCTCAGTACACGTAGACTGAATTGTTTTGAGCTAACCTTTGTCTAAGTATACTGACTAAGTCGCCATTGTTAGTTAAATTTTAAAACCCAGTCCCCACCAAAACGGAAAACAGTAAGCTGAAGAGTAGCTCAAAAAAAGCTCAACTAAACTGAGTCCCGGAAACATAAAGCTGGTATACAACCAGAGACTACCTAATTTTAAACCATTCTACTTATCATATAGAAAAACTAGAGGTAATTTCATCACAAATTTTGAATTCACTAATACCAGCTTTTGTCTTGCGCTCATTTTTCTTCTGTTTTAAAATTAATGAATTAATGAGGGCACTCCCAAAACGTTTTCAAACCCAAAACCAACTACCTGTCATAGAACTACCGAGTCATCAACTAGTGGAACTTCTTACCTCAAAACGCGCCTAAAGCTCCGTTTATTGACGCATTCGGACAAAATCTGGATGAAGTGAAAGGTGCGCATTGCTAAAATTCACTCATTCTGTCCAGCTTATTGTTCTTTTCGAAATCAAATCGTATTGAAATGGCTTCAAAACAGTTCAGGATTCAAATTAATAAGTGACCAGGCTAATGAATGTGTGATTTGGAAGTTAAAGGGGATCTCGTTGAAATATACGACGATAATGACCTGTAAACTGTGTTTAGAAATGTTTATTTATGTTGCTAGAACACACTTCAGAGCATCTTAATCATGGGAATCCAGTTGTATTTGCTGATGTTTTAGATTAGTTTCTGAAAACCTAAATACTTCACTAAAATCGCAGCATTAATGATGGGAAATCGCCTTGCACAAATAGTGTTAAGTTCACAGTAATGTGCCAGAAACCTTCAATGAACTTCAACATACTATCCAATGTGTGTTCGGAGCAAAACGATCCCCAAGCCACTCTGGGTGGCAAGGGAAAGCTCTCCACAGACTTAAAAGTGTGCTACACAAATGCTCGCAGCCTACTAAATAAAATGGCGGAGCTGAAGTCAGTGGTGGATAAAGAAAAACCGGACGTTATCGCTGTCTCGGAAACTTGGTTAACGTCAGAAGTATTAGATAGTGAAATCCAGTTGACTGGTTTCATAACCAGTAGGGATGATAGATTAAACCGAAGGGGAGGCGGGGTTATTGTGTACACGAAAAGTACCCTAACCATAAGATTAGCTGAGACAGTAGCACATGTTTCAGGGACATGTGAACTGGTGAGATGTAAGTTGAAATGCCGAAGGCAAGATATTGAAGTAGTTGTAGTTTATCGCAGTCCAGAAAGTGTAGCAGATGATTTTCTCCTAAATAAACTTAAGTTCTGGTGTAACAACGGTAAAAGCCTTGTAGTAGGCGACTTTAATGCACCATATATAAACTGCGTTAACTTAGAAGTAGGGTCATCCATATCGTCGTTCGACTCCAAACTGTTAGAAACCTCGATTGGACTAGCATTATTCCAACACATTAGAGATCCCACAAGATACGACTTAAGAAACTCTTCTTCTCTTTTAGATTTAGTCTTCACACACAGTGATGACGTTGGTCAAACGGCTTTTCTCCCACCACTTGGGAGAAGTGACCATGCAGTCATCTTATTCAAATTCATGGCTGAGATTGCTTGTCAAACCATTGCGCCGGCCCGTCCTAACATATGGAAGGCAGATATGCAGGCAATTAACTCCGCAGCATCGGCTGAGAACTGGGAAATTGACTCAAAGGCATCAGTACAAGAAGCATGGACTCTATTCAGGCAGTTATACAATCGGGTAACTCAACAATACATACCCTGGACTGTCCCAAAGAAAAAGAAGCACGGACATCCCTGGATAGGGCGGGATATTCGACGCTTACTAAGACAAAAGAAGAAATGCTGGGATGTTGCCATCCACCTTGGCACAGCAGGTACGATGGAACGCTACAGATCGATAAGAAACGAGTGTATAACTAAAATTCGGGAAGCGCAAAGAAAATATGAAATGCAGCTGGCACAATCTGTACTCAAGCAGCCCAAGAGGACATAAACTACAGAACAAGGATTCGTCATTGGATTCCCAACCTAATTAAAGTAGGAAGTGAATCTGAAATGATAGAGGAAGATCAGGAAAAAGCTGAGGTTATGGCTGACTACTTTGGGGCAGTTTTCACTCAGGAACCTCCTCTAGAGAAAGAACCAGACCCAATTACAGAGTCAATAAACCAGCTGCTCACCGTGGAATTCGACCAAAACGATGTGCTTAAGGCTCTTAGCACCCTAAACATGGAGAAGTCAACAGGACCAGATGAACTACACCCTAAAATCTTGAGACATATTGCCGAATATATCGCAGCCCCACTAACTGTGATATTCAAAATGTCACTTGACCAAGGTGTGTTACCTATGGACTGGAAGGATGCAATCGTCACTCCCATACATAAAACAGGTCTACGACAAGTTCCATCAAATTACAGACCCGTAAGCCTCACCAGTGTTGTAATTAAAATACTGGAAAGAATAATCAAACGGACCATAATAGCATTTATGGAAACCAATAACTTGCTGAACATGGCACAACATGGTTTTAGAAAGGGTCTGTCCTGTACAACGAACCTCCTTATAGCTGGGGAGCTCTGGATTAATGCGCTAGACAACGGAAACTCAGTGGATGTTGTCTACATAGACTTCAATAAGGCTTTTGACAAGGCGCCAACTAATAGACTGCTATTGAAGTTGGCAAACCTTGGTATTGCCGGACCTCTTTTAAAATGGATTAAGGATTTCCTAGTAGGTCGTAGGCAAAAAGTAAGAATAAATTCCAAGTGCTCCATCTGGCGACCAGTACTTAGTGGAGTACCCCAAGGTTCCGTCTTAGGTCCTTTACTTTTTATAATGTACGTTAATGATCTTACAAGTATAGTACAGTCTCCAATGTTATTATAGGCTGACGATGTAAAAATTTGGCGAGTAATAACTGGAGACAAAGACGCATTTACTCTTCAGGCGGACTTAAATAATATGATAAACTGGTCTAAAGAGTGGCTGATGCCTGTCAACTCGGAAAAGTGTGTCTACATGCACTTGGGGGATTCAAAGGCTAATACGTACAACATAGGTAATATGTCATTACCCGTAGTCCGGTCTCATAAGGACCTAGGGGTGACAGTGAGCAATAATCTTAAGACGACGGCCCATTGCCTGGAGGTCGCAGTTAAGGGGTTTCGAACCCTCTGAGCTTTAAAAAGGACATTCACTAAGTTTGATACTACCATGTTCACCACATTATACACATCCTTAGTGAGAACTAAGTTCAGGCTGTTCAGGCTGCAAGCCCCTGTCTAAAAGATGACTCAGACATACTAGAAAAAGTACAGAGGGCAGCTACGCGTGCAATTCCGGAACTCCGGGGTTTATCATATAAAGAGCGGCTTGAAAAACTGAACCTCTTTACTCTGTCCTATCGCAGACTAAGGGGAGATCTAATATTGATGTACAGAATACTGAGAAATGATTTCGGACCTAACTTATTCTCTCTCTTTCTTTCCACTAGATCGGGACACCTCAGAGGACATAGCAGGCGAGTAGAAAAGCCAAGGTTTTCACACCGAGTCATCAATACTTGGAACCTGCTGCCTGAAGCAGTGGTGTCCGCACCTTCAATTGACTCTTTCAAGAGAAGACTGGACACTCACAGAAGCATACTAGAAAAGGAATAACATAGGCCGTAGTCCTTCTGTCCTTACTACATAAATCTGAATCTGAATTAAAATAGTTATAATATATAATATCATAGTGATTCAAATGTTTGGCTGTTCTTAGAACATCTGATTAGCACCTGTACCAGTAATTATCAAACTTACGAGTTCTATGAACCCTTAATCTGTATCATTTATACAGATTATCCAGGTACAACGCGTCTTACATTGGCTTCATGAAATATCATCAGAGAGAGCATAAAAATCAAACATAAGTTGGACAGAGCACCAAGAAATACTGGTCACTAGTTACACTACAGGAAAAATGAGCTAACCTTGTGTCACGAACAACCTTAAAATTTTGAACAATTCATGCTGCAAACTAGCATTAGCTTCAATTAGCTCACAACAGACCGTAGTATTATCAGTGAGGCTGTTTACCTGTTGCAGTATATTGAAAGAAGTATAAATTACTTTAGATTCTTTTTCCCAACTTTTGAATCTCTCAAAAATGCGGAAAGATGGCTCTATTTGAGCGCATATTAACTCATGAGCAAGCATAGTCGATAACTAGTATGTTTAATCTAAACATTCACGATTGACTTTCGCCTTCGGAGTGATGCGTTTAAACAAACTGTTTAATCACAATATCTAATATGTATTTAAGATGACTGTACGTCAACAAGATAACTAATTCGCCTTTTTCGCTTTCTATTTAATAAGGGTTTCAAAGCACTGATAATACGATTTAGTTAAATGGGCTCGAGGTTGGGGCTTAGAAATCAATTCTATGCCGAGTGTGCTAATGCACATCGGTCACGGTAACAGTTGCCATTATACTATTGTTGGTAAATCTCTTTCATGCATTCAAGAACATAAAGACTTAGGAGTAATAATGAGTCATGGCTTGAAAACAACTACGCATTGCAACTCAGCCGCTATCAAAGGTTTTCGTGTGTTATGGTCACTTCCTCGAGCGTTCAAATCTTTTGACGAGGAAACGTTTGAAATTTTATATACCATGTATGTAAGACCACATTTAGAGTACTGTGTCCAAGCGGCTAGCTCACGTCTAACCCACTTGAGCTGTCCAGCATGTGGGAACGAAATCAGTGGACGGTCTTTCTAAACTCCCTTACGATGAGCGTTTAAAACGCATAAACCTTTACTCCTTGTCGTGTCGTAGGACGTGAGGTGAGGTCATAGCAAGAAGGTTCACAGACTGCGATCTAATAAACTTGAGGAGGGGTCCCATTTTTCTCATCGAGTAGTCAATGATTGGAACGCCTTACCCGAACAAATGGTATCAACCCCATCAGTGAATGTCTTCACGGAGAAGCTGGACCTTCACTGG